GGCATGCGGCCTGGATTAGATGGGGACTGGATGGAGGCAACGTGCCCAGCTTGGAGATCGCTGCCATAGTCCAGGTGTGAGCTCACACAGGCCCGATTTAGGTTCCGGTCGGAAGTCTGCTATTGTGAAGGACGAGGGTATACTTTTCAAAGAGGAAGAGGAACTAGTTTGAAAGGAAAGGTGATTATTGGAGAGTGGGGGTGGGGTGCGGATGTTGGATCATCCCAGTAGAAGTTGCCAGCACTGGGTTGAGAGTGTGGCCCTAGTGCTCACACCTGCATACTGGAGCGTGGGCCAAGTTTGCCTTTGTACTGACTTTCTAGGCATGGGAAAGAGAAGCATGCTGTTTGGAAAACTTTTTTTTTTTTTAATTTTCTTTCTCACTAGTCATTGTCTTCCTAAGGAAGCAGAGACCTGGGTTTCTTTTTATTTATTTTATTTTTTAAATATTTTTATTGATTTCAGAGCGGAAGGGAGAGGGAGAGAGACAGAAACATCGATGATGAGAGAGAATCATTGATCTGTTGCTGGCGGCCTTCTGCACGGTCCTCAGTGGGGATTGAGCCCATAGCCTGGGCATTTGCCCTGACCGGGAATCGAACCAGCTATCAAATGAGCTCAATCAACTGAGCCACACCGGCTCTGGGTTTCTTTTCAAATAAGGATACGGAGGGCCTTATAGATGGAAGGTTCTGGTAGTGACTCCTAGGAAATTACTAGCAATGCTCTCAATGTCAAATAAATTTTTGGTGATGGTTAAAGAAACTCTGCAGGGAACAGTGGTTTATCTAAGTTCATATTCTCAATCCCTTTATTCTCAGACATGGCTCAGACAGTCTGGTTGCTTTGACTTGGTTTTCTACATCTATTGCATCGGTAATGTCTTCGAAGAAGATGATGGATGTGCTTCTGTGGATGCAATTAATATTACTCTTATTATTTAACCTCTTATGGTAAAAAGTAGTTGTGTTTATTATTATAAATACCCTGGATTGGAACCCTAATTTAGCCAAACTATTTGGATGGTTTATCTCAGGCGATAATGCACACCCCCCTTTTTAAAGTCATGCACACTGAGCCAATTTTTAGTGGTTATAAGTGGGGAGGTCTTCCTTCCTGTGGAATTAGCGGTAGCTGAGGATTTGAGTCTGTACCATCTTGCAATCCACTAATGTGATATTTACCGAGGAGGCATCAGTCTGGAGAAAGGTAGTCAATATAAATCAGTGTTGACAAAGTGTGATTAACTCTGAAATATTTCATCAATGCCGCGGTCCCAGGCAGCCTCTATGCTAATTACTAGTCTCTGTGCCTAGTTTCAGGGGACTCGGACCGACCCTGGGCACAGCAGACACGGAGCAGCAAAATTGCAATTATGCTCAGACCGTCTCTGATGACAATTTATGCATTTGGTGTGATGACCTCCCCCTTCCCCAGAGGGCAATAAACAGGATGCATTTTCATTAAGATACTAATGCACTTAATCACCAGGGGAAAGGGTTAGGAAGGAGCGGGAGACCTTCCAGGGCCGTGGGATGGAGCTGATGGGGAGAGAGGCTTTATTCTAAAGGCAGCTTCTTGGCAAAGCTGGAGGCAGGCCCGGGGTGCCTCCCACACGCCGTCAGTGTCACTCATTGAAAAAACCAATTCCAGCTGAAGTTTGGATCTTCTTCCGGCTACATACCATGTGGAATGTGTCAGTACTACCACTGAATGTAAACTCGAATGATAAAAACACAATTTCACCGCAGTGTGTTCTTACCCCTAACACTTTCATGGGGCTGAGGGGTTTGCATCTCCTTCTGCAAGTGGTGTAACGAGGGCGAGGAGGATGGTGATGATGAAGATGAGGATACTGTTTACCGTTAAGAAGCATTTACCAAGCACTGAGTTGTTTTGTAAGACTGTGGTTGAGGTCACAGCAAGAATCAGGGAATGTCGGGCATGGCTGCCATCTAGGATCTTCCTGCAAAGTCCCAGATGAGCCCACCAATTATTGTCCACAATGAAGTTCATGTCAAAAAGGCAATATGCCTGCCTGGCCGATGTGGCTCAGTGGTTGAGTGTCATCCCAGGAAGTACGAGGTTGCCAGTTCCATTCCCGGTCAGGACACATACCTGGGTTGCGGTTCCATCCCCTGTAGGGAGTGTGCAGGAGGCAGCCGATCAGCGATGTTTCTCATTGATGTTTCTCTCCCTCTCCCTCTCCCTTCCATTCTGTCTAAACATCAATAAAAACATATTGGAAAAAAAAAGACAATATGCCTGATGCATCCCAGCATTAGTCACCTAAAGAAACCCAGACTTAGCTAAAGACCATACATGCATGCCCCACGGACACCACTAGTTTGGTGAAGGCCTAGGAAGGCGGAGAAAGGGATGGATGGAGGGAGATGGGCAAAGGGTGGGGACGAGGGAACAGCTGCAATGATGTCAGCATTAAAATTTTTTGATAAAAAAAGAGAAATCCAGGCTTGACGATACAAGAAGATAGTTGTGATGCTTGAGGTTTCATAGAAATAATCTGCTTCAAAATGTCTTTGGATCCTGCGATCCCGGAAGACTGGGTCTTGGCCCGGGTGAGCTAAGCATCAAGTGAAAGGCTCATTCTGAACAGGAAGTTTTGAAGAGCTTCACCAGATAGCTTCTCGGTGCTCAACTTGTCTTCAGTGGTTGTCACAGAGCATCCAGCCTCGTGACACTTGTCACATCCTCGTGCCTATTGTTTAATTTTGCGGGAAGGGGACAGGAGTCAGCCACTGCCTGGGGACGCTCACATTCCCTGGGTCTTGCCCATCTGACGGCTTGTTTCCTCCCGACCCTGTGTTTCAGGGAACATAGAGTACAGCTGTCCTGCTACGAACGAATGTGAAATCACGAAGCGCCGGCGTAAATCCTGCCAAGCCTGCCGCTTCATGAAGTGCTTGAAAGTGGGCATGCTGAAGGAAGGTAAGGCCCCTGGGCCGCAGCCCTGCGCTTCCGGCTGGGAATGGGAGGTGGTGGCGGGGGGCACAAGGAATTGTCATAATGCGAGAGAAGCCAGGAATAGGTGGGGGTCACAGTAAGTGCCCCGAATCTGAGGGCGGAGCGCCTCTTCTTTATCTGACCCCTCTGCTACCTCGTGGCTAGCTGCTGACATCGACAGGAAGGGACAAGGTAGGGCATACCTGTTGTTCGGCTCAACCCACCAGGTAGGTTTGGGCAATTCCGGTTTTCTTCATCCTTACAATTTCCAGAAGGCGGAAGATGGAGAGCAACCAGGAGGCGACTGTTACTGTCTTTCTGCATTTCTTCTTTATCAGGTTCGCAGAGAGATTTTTCCCATCTTTATTGAGCTAGGATTGACAGAGTATATATTTAATGTGCCCAAGTTGCTGTTTTGATATACATGTATTTTGTAAAATAATTGCTATCATGTAGCTAATTAACATATCCATCACTTCATGTAGCTACCATGTTCTTCTTGCTTAATTAATCTTAGATTTAAAGCACGGTGTTTTGTCTTCTAATCTTATCTTTTGGATTGATTTTCTATTATGAAGAACTTGCAATCATGACATTGACATCGTTGCTCTCAGTTGGGGAGAAGAGCAACATACACAAGATAATAACCGTGTGAGTGTGTACTCTGCTCTGAACACACTGACTAAGCTCGCACAGCCGGGAACTGTAAGCAAATTGTCAGATTCTAGAATTCGCTCAACTCCCACCCATATCAAAGGTCCTGAAATATTTGTGTATCTCAGCGTATCTGTGAAACTAACATTCTAGCTCAGAGAAAATTTGTGTGGGTGTTTTTTTAATTTGAAAACCCTAGATTTAGCTGTGTGGGTTTTTTTTTTTTTTAATGTATCTTTGTGCATAGGGGTGCCTTTATAAATGCACATGTTACATACCGCCTTTGCGTTATACTATCTCCTTCCCTTCAGAAAATTTGTCAGAATTTAAACTAAATATGGTAGCTTTATAAAGGAACAAAATGAAAGCGTTGTCATTGACAGTTGAGAGAAAATGAGGTAAAGTAAATATTTAAATGTACAGCTTCTGCGAAGTCAGAGACTGCCTCATTAGGGTTGGCTCTGTGAGTTTGTCTGTTGTGTTGTTACTGGCGATCACTGGCTTTTTAACCTCCACATTTAAAGATCCACGTGTGTTCCCAAGAATGAACCAGAGCTTCACTCGGCGTGACATTGCCCACCTCATCACTTTTCCTGGTTTGTTCTTATTCCACGAGTTTTCCCAGGAGCAGTGTGATAGGACAATGAGTAGATCAGATCATTTGGGGCGGGGGGGTGGAATTCACACCATGTTTCTCTGTGGTTTGTCCACTGAGAATGAATTCCTTCCTTGATAGGAACAGAAAAAAGCTTAATGAAGAGTCGGGAGCTAAGAAGTCATTGTTTTCAAAGAGCAAGTCCATTTTTAAAAGTGCTATGGAAGTAATACATGAATTAACAGCTTTTGAGTTGATGTGTCCTAGATATTGATTTTATTTTCACAATCTGGAGCATACAGGAATACACCTCCATTTCCAGATGGATAGAAATGTTCTGATCAGTTTGATGTTACTGCTGCGATTTACACGACTGTGTGTCCTTCCAGATATGAGAAGGATAGAAAACAATATTTTTCCCCCGAATACTTTTACCTTCTTGTGGTTCTTAAGCAGGAGCCATCTTGAAAGGTGCTTAGAGCGACTCAAGAGCTGTGAATTGTGTCTAATTAAATGTTGTTGGTGAAAGGCAATGGGTGTGGTGCTTTTGTAATATTCACGCCTCTTCAGATCGAGCCTGTACAGGGTCTCTCTTCAAGGAAATGGCTGCTGTGGCTGATCTACTCATGTAGTAATTCATTTTCCTCTATGCCCTTATGCCTACTTTGATGGGCAAATACCAGTTCTCTAAGGCCCTTCCCCCAAAGAGAGAGGATGGAATGGTTATGAGCAAATACGGAACGCTCTTTTATTTTTGTATTGAAAACAAAATGCAGTGACAAATGGCAATCCGTCCGGCATAGAAATGTACAATTCTGCATGGCCATCGCCTTGGCTGCAGACCGGCCCCCTCCGCCTGGGGAGAATGATCCCCTCTTAAGTGTGTCTTTATGGATGGAGAGGGAGTTGAGTCCCAGGCAGTGTGTCAGGGATCAGGATGTAGTAAATCTATTCAAATGTAAACCTGTTCAATTCAATTACCAGCCCCTAATAAAATTTGCTGCTACAACCCCCGTGTTGACCACGGCGGTCCACGCAGGCTGGTGGCTCAGCGGGTCTGGAAATTGACAGACACAATCTATTTAAACAAAAAACAACAACATTAGTTCTCAAATCTGAAATGAAATCAGGTTTCCACAGCTCTGATGGGGACCTTCTTTCCTTTAACAGGTATTTTCTTTAGTCAACTAGCCAAATGCATCTCAGATAACGCCTTCCTGAGGGAAATGAAGTTTCTTTCCAAAGGGCGATTTATAGAAAAATGAGACTTTCACTGTTGGAAAATAATAATCCTTTATTGATTGCCATTTCCTTTTTTCTTTTGTTTTGTTGTTAATCCTCACCGGAGGATATTTTTCCATTGATTTTTAGAGAGAGGGAAAGACGGAGAGAAACATCGATGTGAGAGAAACACATTGATTGGTTCCCTCCTGCAGGAGCCTGGGCCAGACCCCAGACCAGGGAGGAACCTGCAACCGAGGTACCTGCCCTTGACTGGAATAGAACCCAGGACCCTTTGCTCCTCAGGCCGAAGCTCTATCCACTGAGCCAAACCAGCCAGGGTTTGATCACAATTTCTGTAAAGACCTGGGTTGCAAAAGGGGAGTGATGGCTCAGGGAGTGACCAATTCCAGTTATGTTTATTGCATATAATCAAATTCCTACCAGATATGCCTTCTCATGAGCCGCACCAGAAGAGTATCTGAATGGATGCCATTTGATTTTAAAGTTAGAATTTTTGAATGAAAAAACTGTTACTAGTTGAAGCCATGAAACAGATGTGTGGAGAAACAACAAAAAACCGCAATATAACAAAACTCCAAGAAGTACACTTAAAAAATGATAGTTTCTGCAAATCTGAGTGGTTACACCATTCCTCATCCCGAAGAATTCTCCTTTTTTTTTTTTTCCCTCTGGTCTCAGGCCCACTTTGCTGGTAAGCCTCAGGAATGATGGGCCAGCATGCTGTTTACGGCATCATCCCATACTGTATGTCAGAGAAAGCCCATCTGTTACAAGATATCTGGTCTCCACATTCGCCTTTCATTTTTTGCAGGTATTGTGTATTTGAAGGGGGAAAACAAAACCTCCTCAAGGTGCACCCATAAATCTGGGCAAGATTTATTTTTATTTTGATCCTTCTCCTTGGGTACTTAAAGATGACTGCAGGGCCTACGCGTTCAGTGTTCTCTCTGTCGGTGGCAAAGAGAGACATTTTATGAAAGCAGTAATTATTTTGCTTAGGTACAGAATTCACTGATCAAAGGATGAAGGGTGTTTTGCTGTTTATTGCTGTGATGGGTTTCACCTTGGCAACTCAATTATTAATTTTTATTTTTGGACTCTTGCAAATGAGAGCAAGACACCCACCTTTATGCACAGTATGGCATGCTTGCCTATTGAAGTGCAGAGGACCAGTTTAGCTATGTCATGGGGAAAAGTGGGCTTTTATACTTTGCCTTAAAAAAAGGGAGGGGTTCTTTAACCTTTCTTTGTTAAATTTATTTTATTTTTTGGTAATCCTCACCCAGGATATTTTTCCATTGATTATTTTTAGAGAGAGTGGATAGGAGGGCGAGGGACAGAGAGAAACATCAATGTGAGAGGGAGAAACATCAATTAGTTGCCTCCCGCATGGGCCCTGGGGATTGCCTGCAACTGAGGTATGTGCCCTTGACCAGAATCAAATTTGGGACCCTTCAGTTCTCAGGCCATTGCTCTATCCACTGAGCCAAACCAGCTAGGATTTAACCTTTCTAATCTTTAGTGTCATCATCAGTAAAATGATGGTAGCAATAGTAGTGTTTGCCAATAAAGTGTTGTGTCTAGTAAGATACCATAGGTTAAGTGCTTGTCCCCCAGTGTGGCTCAGGTTAAGGATCAGATCAACATTAGCTGTTGTTGCTGGACACAGTCAGGGTCAAGTTTTAGACTCAAGTCCTGGCAAAATATTACTGGATTTTCCGATGGTACCAAAAGGGTATGCACCGCGTAGGAATCATGCTTCGGATTTTGAATGTTGATCCTTTCCCAGGCAAGCAATGGACAGTAGGATGCTTTCTTGTGATGCTGGGCAGCGGCCCTGAGCTCAGCTCCTGGTGAGCCCCGTGATGACCAGGGCCAGCCAGGACACCCTGCAGTGTAGCCAGTGTGTTGGGTGATTCTGCTCGACGGGGGGCTGATGGAAGTGTTCTGAGCGCATGTCAGGTGGGTTAGGCCAGCTCCGATGATAAGTCGGGTAGATTGTTACTTTCAAGTTCACCTGGGTGCATCAGGAGGCAGCCACATCCTTCCTGGAAGAGCATCCTTAGTGCATGAGATAGCACGGCTTTATTCATGTCGCTGCCATGACATCTCCCCAATCAGTTGTCTCGAACCCCCAGGACATAAAGAAAAAATGATCCCAGGACTGTTTTTGCTGCCTTCACAGCTTGCGTCTTGATTTATATACGGCAGCGGGGACTCCAGTCCTCTGGGTTCGCCCTTATCAGCAGGCCAGCAAAGAGCAACTTCCCGGTCTAATTGCCCTTCTGTTTATACCTTCCATTTTAATAAAATGTTCATGTAAAGGGTGTAGCATTTTCCAGGTAGGTTCTCTTTAAAAAGAAAAAAAAAATGAAGCGACTCCAGTCATTTAGTAGCAAGCAGCTGTGTTTTTGCTTACTTAAAGAACCAGCTTAGCAAATGCATCCGAACAAAATCTCTTTTGTACAAACTCCCGAAGAAGACATTGCCA